AGCCCGATGCGGGACTCGATCCCGGGACTCCAGGATCATGACCTGAGCCGAAGGCAGTCGCTTAACCGACTGAGCCACCCAGGCGCCCTAAAAAATTTTTTTTAAATCTAAAACTAACCAACCAAACAAACTGAGAATGAAGAAGCAAAGCAAAGGTCAGCGTATTTTATTTTTTTAAAGAAAAGGTCAAGTGTACTCAAGGGAAAGCATCTATACAGAAGGGCCTTTCTATAACATGATTCTTAGGTTCACATGCCAGGTCATGTTTTAAAGCTGAAACACGGCTCTAATGAATGTTTACAGTGAAAGCTTCTATTATGACAATGACTAAAAAACCCAGAATAACTCTTTGAAAAGGTAAAGAAATGTAGACCTAATCCTGCATTGCCGTAAGATCCTCAATACATTTACATTTCTTTTTTTAAAGATTTTATTTATTTATTTGACAGAGAGACACAGCGAGAGAGGGAACACAAGCAGGGGGAGTGAGAGAGGGAAAGCAAGCTTCCCACAGAGCAGGGAGCCCAATGCGGGGCTAGATCCCAGGACCCTGGGATCATGACCTGAGCCAAAGGCAGACCCTTAACGACTGAGCCACCCAGGCGCCCCTACATTTACATTTCAATAAATGATTAGACATATATTAAACGCTGTGGGCATTTTAACTCCTTGCCCACAAAATAAATTTTGAGGATTAACCTCTTGAAATACAGAATGTGGTTCATTTGAGTAAAGAGTATTAAAAAAAAAAAAGGACGAATGAACTTTTAGGAAATGTAATATTGAAGGAAAAAGAATAGTAAAGTGTTTAAAAAAAACCTAGACAACAGTTTCACTTCAGTTTTTCAGTAAAACATGTAAACAGCTGCAACATTTTTTTGGCTTCAGCATCCTAGATGCATGTTATCCATACAGCTAAAGAATGTTAGCAGCTGTGAAATTCAGTTTTCCCTAATTTCGAATTCCCCATAGAGAGATACAACTGTATTTAGAAGGTTTTCAGGCTGCCATGTTTGCAAAACCTACCCACATCATCCACATCCCCACAAACCTCTCCAAAAAACCTGCTGGATTAGAAAGATAGGAAGTGACCCTGGTGGGTAGGGTTTACAGCACTCATCCTGAACAAAGCTCATTAACATACTCTGAATCACTTACTTTGGTAATATTTAGGAGTGTGTAATACATAGAACAAGGAACTAAAATGTAGGACTGTATCAAATTTAAACCATCTACACTTCCCTTCAGCTCTCAGACCTAGCTATTTTTTGGTAGCTTATACCCCACTTACTCTTGAACTTTCCTTTAACAGGAAGCAACTTTTAGGACTCCAAAATACACCGACATAGTCTTTGGAAAAAAAAAAGATCATCACTTCCCTTACAAAATCTTTAGCATACTGCTTTTTCTAGAATTCAGTGCAAGATCACTACTTCATCTGTACATCCCTGACTCTTCTGGACAAGGCAAGTGCACTTTATCTAAGAGGAGCCCCACTGACTGAAAGTTACTCATATTGTTTGGGCTGCTGGTATCATTTGGTTTGAACTGAACACTACAGATGCAGGCAGTTCCCTTTATTTTGGATTACTGCTGTTAGGACCTTTAACAAAGATCTGCATCAAACACAATGGCTTAATTACTTCTCTTACAGTGATTTACAGCCACCAATAAGCATTTTTCCATCATTTAGAAATAGGTGACCTATTCCATAGGACAAAACAGAAAGTTCAGCCTGTTGACAGCATTTAAGGGGCCAAACACTGTACTAAATGCCAGACTTAGTGATTAAAGTGACCTCAAATATGTGTTATATCTCTTGCTAAAAGAAGTTGCCAGATTATTAAAAAGAGCCTGCTACCGAATTACCAAATTATTGACTGAGAAATTCAGCAAGCCAGGCTTGGCTTCCAGAAACCTAAAACTTCTTCCCTACGCTAGCCTTCATTCCTTCTGTGCTGATATGATCCCTACTCCCTTATTCCTAGATAGGGATAATCATGGTCCAATTTCCACTTATTTATTACCAGCTACTCCCTGGAGTAGCAGGGTTAGAATATGAAGCCTTAGCTATAAAAAGCCCATGGAAAAACATGCGAATATTTATACACTACTTACATCCAGGTGCTTTAGCCCCCCGACCAGTGGCTTTTCAACTTTCTAGCACTAAACACTAACTCTGGTGGTTTGTGATTATTTGTCCTCAGTTTCACTCTCCTATTTCCATGTCCTTGACTTCCTCTCCCTAAAGTAATTAGCTCCCACTCACACAACAAGAAAGCAGAGAGAACATCAACATAGAAGTAACTGAAGAAACAGAAGGTGCCCTGCACAGTAAAACAAATTGTATCTTTCAACATAACCTAGTGGTTCTCAACTCTGGTTGCCTATTATGATCACCTCAGGAGCTTTCAAGTCTCCTGATGCCTAGGCTGCATTCCAAAGTTATTAAATAACAATCTCTGAGGATGGGACAAGGTATCAGTATTTGTTAAAGCTCCTCCAGGAAAATGCAATATGGAGTCAAGTTGAGACCACTACATTAAGTCAGACTGAACAGCTGCTCTCTCGTTTTTTATATAGAGAACTAATTCTAAATCTTGTTTTCTATACAGTATTTCAGAGGACTTCTTAAGTATTCCTAAACTCTAATCTCCTTTAAAATTAGGGAATTTCTTCCCTAGTAAAGGAAGGAGTAGGGGACGTTCTATTTCACTGGTGTAGGGAAGGAGTTCCTTTGCATATTCTCACATCTGCCAGGAGCTTCTTCTCCCTTTATAGACAGTAAAATCACGAAGACAAATTTTGGGTTCCCGTTAAGCAGGACGGACATTAGTCACAGACATCTGATTCCTGCAAGTTAAATGTCAAGGGGTCCTAGGTCCCCAAGGTTCCTTCTCCTACCTCCAGCAGGTCTATCATCCTGGTCATCTGGGAGTAGATAAGGACCCTATGTCCTTGAGACTTGAGCCGAGTCAGGAGGACATCAAGGGCATACAGCTTTCCACTGTCAGTGATGAGGCTCTCCTTGCCTGGGGAGAAGAAAAGGGGGGGAGGAGGGGGAAACTGTATTTAATTGAAGCAGCAAAATCACTCACTGCAAAGCTGTATGCAGCCAAAATTACGACAACCAGGATGCTTGTCATCATGAGGGCAGGAAAGTAGAGAAGAAGGCAAAGCACTGTTCAATCATGATCCAGTAGGGCTCTGGGAAGAAGTATCCTGAAAGAGGGAGGTGTACGCTCCCTTCCAACGGACAGTTCCCGTTCAGGTATCTGCTGCTAAGACAAATGAAAGCTTCCCTGCTCCATGTCCTTACTCAGGGGATAACAGGTACACATGGACATCTAAGAGTGAGGTCTATGTCATATCTGCTCTAAGTGACTTGAGAAACTTGTTTTTCCTTCTTCATCCTATCTCTAGATATCTGTTTCTGCTGGTTCTGTGGCTAAATGGTTTACATCTCCTGAAAGCATGAGAATGTAGAGAAACGAGGGCTACTCTTGCCTGTCCCTAGAGACACTTAAATACTGAGAAACGCAAATACACATATCCATTCCTGACCCTCTGTTTAAATCCAAACCCCTTCTCCTTGATGATTTCAAATAGGTTGGCTGGTAAATGTCATTATCCTAAACTGTAATTCAATAAAGACACTAAGGTTTGTTCAGCTTCTCAGAAGGACTGACTTTGGGTTTCTGTGAAATGGAAGCTGCTTTTACTCACTAACTTGTGCTTTCTCTTTCCTCCTCCCATTAAAAAGAAAAAATAAATAAATAAATAAAAAAGAGCATTTTAGCCAGAGATCTTTACAGAGCACTTAACTCTCAAATTTTCATCTTATCCATTCAGTATCATTCATCTCCCATCACATTTCAGGAAGGAGAGTTTCCTGTTTGCAGACTGGTCCATAAACATGCCCTGAACAATCACTGCTACTAAGAGGGGGAAGAAATGAGGCTGAAGGGGCCAGGAGATTTTAAGAGTATACGTGGAAGTGGCTGTGGGGTGCAAAAAGGGAGAGACAAAGGATAGAGAGAAGACACAACTAACCACTAAAAGTAAAAAAGGGATCTATTAAAAAAAACCCACAGTCTATCCCTAGTTTCTGGGTTCGAACCCATGGTTTTTTCCCCTCAGAACTGCAGAGGCTGACTGTTGAGAGCAATCCAAGAGTTCTCAATGGATTATTTCTCTGTTCTCGCCACTATCTGCCAAGTGCACAATCATTGTATAAACCGAACGAGAACGGATGTGCTGACAGCACCATAACAAATCATCAGCCCCTCTGTTTTTGCTACAAAGCCACAAGCCCTGGATGTTTACTCCTCTGCACTGCTGCTTGCCTTTTCCCACCTTCGGAACGCTGCCAGGCCACATCTCTCCCTCCACCACCCCCTCCCTGATGCTGTGGCACACACCTTTGTTCAGCCTCTTTGTTTGGTCCTGTTTAGATTACTGAAATGCTCTTCTTTTTGTTGATCTCCTTACCAACACAATCAAACGACTGCAGCTGGGACAGAACCAAATGCTAGGCCCTCTCCTTGGCACCAGACAAGGAGGCCTGTGTGAATTCCAAGTCTGATCAGGCGGCAACGCTTTCCTAACAACTTCAACGTTTCTCCTTTAATTGGATTCCCTGGGATCCCTCAATTTTGATAGCTCCTAAACATTCCCCAGAGTTTCTTTCTTTTTTCATTAAAAGCACAGGAAGGTGGAAAAAAAAAAAGAGAAGCCCATATATTTTTCAGTCATTTAGTAGAGTGGGCAAGCTAAGCTCATCGGATTTCTCCAGCAGCCTGCTTATCTTTTCTCTCCATTCACATTTACTCCCTCCACACAAGTATCTTAAAGTATGTAAATCTGTCTCGTGTCTGCATTTTGAGAAGCTTCATCTCAAAATCATGATTCAATGGTTTTCACATATTCCCGCTTCCCACATCTCCTTTCCTTTGCTAACGAGAACAAACTGATGCTAAGAGGAGGAGACTCAGAGATGAAGATGCACAAAGAACTCTGATGCACCTGAAAGAAGCAACAGTGGTGCCCGTTGTTAGCTGTTCCTGTGTATGTGGGAAGTGAAAGCAGATGGACTGGATTTCTTTGGACTACCCTGAAAGAAAAGGCCTAAGCAGAAAGAGACTGCAGCAACAGCCTTCGAATACTGAAGCAAGGAACAAGATTTCTACTTCTCCGTTAAGCACGCTGGCTCAGCACCCAGTACTTGTCCTTAGAAAGATAGGCAGAAAAAAATGGGTTTTCTTTCCCTGCACACATTGGGGTCTTTTGGGCCTGGCATCCACTACCCAATTTTTCAGGAGCTACCAAAGTTGTGCTGGACAACAGCACCACCTGTTGCTAAGCAGGGCACAGAGCCAAGAAGAGCACAATTCCCTAGAAATTAGGCTGATTGTGCCAAGTCAAACCTCTCTTTAAAACAGGACCTCAAAATGTTGTACAGACCTATCCTACTTTCTTACAATATTGTCTACGATCCTATAGTACAATCTTAACAGTATTTTCACTTAGGCACAAGTTCTTACTGGTCACAGTATAAGAGTCTGCTTAGGGACAAAATGAATATATCCCATGGCAGTATAACTAGGCTAACAGATGAAATAACTCCTTTTTCCAAGGAGAGGAGACTTCTGAAAGGACTGTACATCTTTCTCCTGGTAAAACAGGAGATGTATTCAAAGGTGTGAAATCCAGGAGATTTTGGTCTTTCGGGGACTATTAATGGAACCAACCCTTCCCAAGGAAACAGAAAATGTAAAAGTATAGAGAAAAAAGAGATAAAATACAGGTTCCAGTGACCCCACAACCCCCCACCCCTCGCTGCCCTGCCCCAGCCAGTCTACAGAGCACAATGGGGTCAGTGAGGAGCTGGTTGGTTCTCACAGTAAACAGCCAGTGAGGCTGGCGCTTTTTATCGATGCGAAAAGAACTCAGACACTTCCTGCTATTTAAACAAGGTCCATTTTTCTTTCAAAGAACAGGAAAAGCCACAAGAGATTCCCACAGCGCCAGCAGTAAGCCCTCTACTCCTATACTGGGAACTTAGGAGCCAGAGTGAAGAGGGGAGAAAGAAGAAATAAGGTGTTGTCTTGCTTCTTTCAACACCTGTGCTCATCTTCTGCCTGGGATTCGATGGTTTCCAGTCCTGCTGGATTTTAGTCCTCTATTGCCACTACCATCCAGGCCTGCTTTACAACTGGGCTTTCCCCTTGTTTTCCAACAGTACACCTTCACCCACTGCTTTCAGGTATTCTAAGTCTGCTACGAGGCCGCACACTATATGGCTCTCATAAACTCAAAATGGCATCTTCTAGTCCAAAGCACACCCACAGCTACTACCAGGCTGACCCAAAGTCCCTTGACACTTGGCAGATTCTCTCTTTTGGACGCTCAGCTCTAGTTTACTTCCATTATATCCAGTAAAAAGAATACAAAGTATCAGAGAATCTAGACAACCAAAACTGACATGGTAGCTCTCAACTACCACTCCAATCCGCCAGCAGGTGTAAGCAAAGAACATAAGCCTATGAACTCTGTGTTCAGTTTCCTTAAAAGTAGTCTCACTAAAGCAAAGATGAAAACCTAGTTTCCTTTCAACCCTCGGCCTTGACTCTAGAAGGTCTGGGAATCTGCTAGCATTCTGGCACAAAACACAGTGTTTTTCTTCTGGTTATCATTCAGATCTCTAGTGCTCCGTGCAGGACACTGTTTATGCTACTTCAACTAGGCTTTCTGAGAGTGACGACATTCTCATTCACCCTACTGGCAATGGCACAAGACAACTGTACTCACTCGACCTGGAGCCTTTCCTACCAAGTTTATTTCTACCCCCCCCCCTTTTTAAGGGTGGCATTCCTTTCTCAGCTGTAAGCTTGTCAAAGGAGAGTACGTAAGCACAAATCTAAAAAACATTTCTCTCTTAAGTCATAAATTACTTCAGTATTTTTACCTATAAAGTTAGTAAGGGCAAAACAGGAAACAAACCCCAAGAACTTTGAATTCCAAATATCTAAAGCCACCACATGGAGTATCTCCTCGGTTCCTCTTCCCTTGCCAGAGCGGGCAAAACGCCAAGAGAACAGAGAACTTACCTGGAATCCTGATGAAAGACCAGCCATTCTGAGGCCTGATGCTCCACAGTCCTCCAGCTGGCTCTGGGAAGAACTGGGACCGTCGATTTAGCCACTCTGCCGCCAGTTCAGGGGCCCCATTTAACAAACACTGCTTGGCTGCCAGACTCCCTCCTTCCTTCAGCACTCGCCGCTCATATTCTGCACTTCGGTCATTGCAGTAAGAATCCAATGGCACTGCGGTAACCTGCCGTGAGACAGTCACATGAGATAGCTCTTGCACATTTCCTACACTCCAACTTTGAAATCAGACAAATGTGGATAATTCTTAGGTTAGTGGTTTTAACTTCCTTGTTCTGACAAATAAGCTGCCTCTAATAACTGACTCAATGAGCTGGTCCAAGGAAAAGGCCAACCTCATATTAACATGAATCTGCAGCAAACTAAAGATCCAGAGAGTGCAGGAGTTTGCAGAAAAACTGGGATACCAGGTCAGGAATAATTCTATCATGGTTCTATGCATCTCTGATCCAACTTTGCCACCTCCCCTCATTGCTGGATAGTGTTTTTGGTGAAATTCTATTAGCCATACACAGAATGGGGAGATCAGAAAGGGAGCTGGAGCTACGCAGTCATTACTAAAGAACGAAAAGAGTTATTTGCCTGGTGCATTTGAAGCTATCTTTAATGCTTTTCTGCCAAAATTCCCAAGTTTATCAAGACTTCTTTCTCCTCTCCCCTGACCAGGATGCTGACTGACAAACCTAATGAAAGATACGAGAACCTTTCTTGTAGGCCATAAGCTGGGATATGGTGGAGGGGGGTGGAGAAAGCAACTGCCAGAGACTGGTGGATTCATTTCCTGGCTAGGACAGAGGCTATGCACAAATTCTTATCTCCCCACAAGGTGCAACAACACTGAAATGCTGCCCCCCTCCCCCCCATGGAATAGAAGGCTCCCGCCAATTAAGAAACGGGCTTTTTAATCCTTTAGTGATCTGGGTCTATTCCCACTCTAATAAGCATCTGTGTATTCAGATAACTGTGAAATCACCTGATTAGAAGCCTGAGTTACCTTCTGTTGAAATTTGGAGGCTGTGATTAGCTGCAAGCTCAGGCTGATAAAAATGCTAAAGTCCCATTATATGCACTAAATTGCTCAGAAAAACCCTGGAGCAAGACCAAGAAATGGGGAGAAATTGGGTATAAGGAGCAAGTGCAGAGGAATGAGAGAGATCAGAACATAGAACACTGGCCGTACCTAGTTAGCTAGTTTTATTGTTGCTATTATTTCCCAGAAGTGAGACATTTAGGAAAATATATCTTGCTATTAACTTTTCTATCTTCATGCCCATCAATCTTTAGGGCAATGGAATGGTTGTCAAGTTTTGGTATGCGTAAGAACCTTCTTGGGAGCTTATCTAAAGTGCAGATTTTGATCCAGAAGATCTAAGGGACAAGCGAACAGCTCTAGGCTTTTAACGAACACCACGGCCTTCAGGCCAAGCCTTAATGCTGCCTTGGGGTACATTAACAGTCAGCTAGCTGACTATGGGGCTGCAGGTGCCTCTGCTGGAGACTAGAAGATACCAAAACAATAGAAAGAGCATCATTTACTAATACCACAGCGTCCTCTACTCTGGCTTATAGATGAAGCTGAACTGAGTTGGCTAGAGAACAGTGCCATCTACAGTCCAGACACAAAACTACAGGGAGGTGTTACAGCAAGCTGGGCCCCCGCAGCTCCAAAACCCAGACAGGCTCACATATCAATCAGTTTCACACACAGTACTAGGTGCAGGTGTTGGTAATCTCAAGTGGTCATCTTTACCCACTCCAAAAGGAGTATGTTCTCTTACTTCCAACTTCTTCCTTTTTCCCACTGAAAGCTGAACAGAGACAAATGAAGACAGAAATAAAAAACAGGTAGATAGGGGCGCCTGGGTGGCTCTGTCGTTAAGCATCTGCCTTTGGCTCAGGTCATGATCCCAGGGTCCTGGGATCGAGCCCCGCATCGGGCTCCC